TAATTTCGGGCAGAAGACCACCCCACATGTCGGTCACCCCATGAGCCAAGTCCAGATATTTTGTTTGCTTATCTGTTTCGGCTTTCACAAGGTTCTTGTCATACGGAATGGTAATGTCGACCAAAAATATCCTTGACTGTGCCCGGTCCATCAGCACAATATCAAGCTTATTCGCAAGAATAGTCCTGTCTGTGATGATGACCCGATCATAATAGAGCCTGGCGCGATCATTTTCGAGCACGGCTTCCGGCAAGTACTTGTAATACGGCAATTTCCGATCCACGAAACCGTATTTCAGAGCGAGCTCCTGGTGTAGAATTCTGGCTACTAGGTTGTGCCTGTGCAAGTACTCAGAGTTAGAAAGCGCCGAACAACCGGAGATGACATGCCTAAGTGACTCACCGGGATGGCAACAAGCTCGACAGATGTCGACCGTGCCATCCTTTAGGATGTATCTCCGATAGTTGTTGGTCTTATTAACCTGATCCTGTATTGCACAGACAAAACCCTCGGTTTCCCCGAAGAGATCACCAAAGCGTAGCCAGTGGAGGGAGGCTACTGTGCCTACGAAAGGCCTGTAGAGCCTTGTAGAACCTCCCCTGGAGCTCCTTCTCCTTCCATACGGTCTCCCGGTCGGAAATACTCTACACTGCCTGGTCTTGCCATTGCTCGTTGGCTAAGGATAGAGGGGTAAGTCCTTTATCACAAGAAATGACGTCCTTATAGAATGGATCATCCGATCTCGCCAGGAAGTAATCACGGAGGCTGCACACTTCGCGATTATGCATGGTGAGCGCGCTCAAGAAGACACGCCCACCATACTTTCGCGGCAAGTACAGCCTTATTACCGACGATCTCGGATAATGCATCCTATGGGACGTCATGGTAATGCGGACTTTTCTATCCAGGGCGTTAAGTTCAATCTGAGTCCACCTGAGTATGCCAAAGGTATATATGATGACAGGCATGACCCAGCCGTTATATGCGTGTGCCTTATTCACACCGGACAAAAGGCCGTTAAGCACTTTGGTCAAGCGTGCATAAAATACGTCGCAAACTGACTGTTTCATACCAGTCTCATCGATACCGATGTTCTGTGACATACCCAGGTATCGGTGTGTTTCAGCCTCGGAAAAGGTCCTTAAGTTGACGGGTATAGATAAATCTATGCCCTCAGAGTTAGCAACCCTTCCCCTTTCAACATGGAGGACCGCACACTTATCCGTCCCCAGCTCCATTCCAATGGAATTGCTAAATTCACAAGTGATTTTTAGCAATTCCATAAGATGGGAGCGACTGGAGGCGAATAACTTGAGGTCATCCATAATGATTTCTTAAATTTACGCGAACAATACACATTGAATAAAACTATTATTTACGGATTTTATCGCGTTTAATTACTTTAATTTATTTTTATTATTATCCCGACGTCTCGGGTGCTTTACAGCACCCATGCTCACAGGGGGACTCAGATGTTTGACGTCCCAATGTCATAGTTAGTCCGGCTACCTTCAGTTTTTTTAAATTAATTTTTTGGTCCGATTTACGCAAAACGAGCTTAAAGTATCATGAAGTCTTGCAGTGGTATGCTTGGGTTTGGGTTTAATTTTGTTAATTATAGGATCCCAAGCAGATGGTAGCACCTAACCATCTTCTCTATTGAAATTTGGATGTTTTTTAATTTCAATAGACTTACGTATAATCCTTGGTAGGAATCGGTGTTCTTTTGCGAGAATTTGTGGTTTATCAAATCTAATGTAATGGTGGGGACGATCTTGAACATGTTCGCAGACTGCATACTTCCCGGAGCGTCGGTGCTTCACATCAGCTATATGTTTCTTCGCGCGGGTTTTTATAGATCTCTTTGTTTGACCTATGTAAGAGAGACCACAAAGCAACAAGCTAGATTGTGAATGTGGTCTCTCTTACATAGGTCAAACAAAGAGATCTATAAAAACCCGCGTGAGGGAATATATAGCTGATGTGAAGCACCGACGCTCCGGGAAGTCTGCAGTCTGCGAACATGTTCAATATCGAGGCTATTGAAATTAAAAAACATACAAATTTCAATAGAGAAGATGGTTGGGTGCTACCATCTGCTTGGGATCCTATAATTAAAAAAATTAAACCCAAACCCAAGCATACCACTGCAAGATTTCATGATACTATAAGCTCGTTTTGCGTAAATCGGACCAAAAATTAATATTAAAAAAAACTGAAGTTAGCCGGACTAACTATGTTATTGGGACGTCAAACATCTCAGTCCCCCCCCCGTGACCATGGGTGCTGTAAAGCACCCGAAACGTCGGGATAATAATAAAAATAAATTAAAGTAATTAATTTATATAAATTATAATAAAAAATATAAATTTGTCACATAACTGGGGTCGTCAATTCCCTACGCCATTTATATTTATTATTATTATTATTATGGGGTATCTATATAGTTTTCTCATCTGGTTGGGATGTATAAATATATAATTATAAATGAAAATGAAAAGATAAATATACATAAATATTAATAAAATAAAATAAATACAAAAATACATAAATAAATAAAAGCCCAACCAGATGGAAGCCCTCGGCAGGGGAGACCAAACGGCCAAGGGTTAGGGGGAAGGGAAAGAAACCGGCGGACGATGCGGGCAGTATCAAGGAGCACCGCCTTCTGCATTTGAGCCCGGAGCGGTCCGTCACGGAGTTCCAGTCGCCTCAGATGAGCAGAGAGGCTGACTGGGATTAGCCCATTCGCAGAGACGACTACAGGAATAATTTCGGTCGGTATACTACCCCACAAGTTGGTCACCTCGTGAGCCAGGTCCAGATACTTTGATTGCTTATCTGTTTCGGCTTTCACGAGGTTCTCGTCATACGGGATGGTAATATCGACCAAAAATATCCTTGACTGTGCCCGGTCCATCAGCACAATATCAGGCTTATTCGCAAGAAAAGTCCTGTCTGTGATGATGGCCCGGTCCCAGTAGAGCCTGGCGCGGTCATTTTCAAGCACGGCTTCCGGCAAGTACTTGTAATACGGCAATTTCCGGTCAACTAGACCGTATTTCGGAGCGAGCTCCTGGTGTATAATTCTGGCTACTAGGTTGTGCCTGTGCAAGTACTCAGAGTTAGAAAGCGCCGAACAACCGGATATGACATGCCTAAGTGACTCATCGGGATGGCAACAAGCTCGACAGACGTCGACGGTGCCATCCTACCAGGATGTATCTCCGATAGTTGTTGGTCTTAATAACCTGATCCTGTATTGCACAGACAAAACCCTCGGTATCCCCGAAGAGGTCACCGAAACGTAGCCAATTGAGGGAGGCGAATGTATATACGAAGGGCTCATGTAGAGCCCTGTAGTACCTCCCGTGGAGCTCCTTCTCCTTCCATACGGTCTTCCGGTCGGAAATTCTAAGCACTGCTGGGTCCTGCCATTGCTCGTTGGCTAAGGATAGAGGGGTAAGCCATTTATCACTAGAAATGACGTCATTATAAAGTGGATCATCCGATCTCGTCAGGAAGTAACGACGGAGCCTGCACACTTCACGATTATGCATGGTGAGCGCGCTCAGAAACCCACGCCCACCATGATTTCGCGGCAAGTACAGCCTCATTACCGACGATCTCGGATGATGCATCCTATGGGACTTCATGGTAGTGCGGACTTTTCTATCCAGGGCGTTAAGTTTAGTCTGAGTCCACCTAAGTATTCCAATGGTATACATAAGGACAAGCATGACCCAACCGTTACATGCGTGTGTCTTATTCACATCGGACAAAAGGCTATTAAGCACTTTGGTCAAACGTGCATAAAACACGTCGCAAACTGACTGTTTCATACTAGCCTCATCGATACCGATGTTCTGTGACATACCCAGGTATCGGTATGTTTCAGCCTCGGAAAGGGTCCTTAAGTTGACGGGCATAGATAAATCTATGCCCTCAGAGTTAGCAACCCTTCCCCTTTCAACATGGAGGACCGCACACTTATCCGTCCCCAGCTCCATTCCAATTGAATTGCTAAATACACAAGTGATTTTTAGCAATTCCATAAGATGGGAGCGACTGGAGGCGAATAACTTGAGGTCATTCATATAGAAAAGGTGGGTCACTTTTGTCCCTCCTTTCCGTAGCTGAAATCCTCTCCCGGATCCCTCCAGTAAGGTACTGCGAGGGTTCAGGGAGAGGCAGAACCAGATTGGGCTCAGACAATCGCCCTGGAAAATACCCCTTCTTATCCTTATGTGGTTCTCCGCAGCCATCATCTGCTCACCCAGATGACAAAGGATCGTACTCCACTGCCCCATAAACTGCTCGAGGAAGTCTCTCACTGTACAATCTATCTTGTTCATCTCGAGGACTCTCTTTCGCCATGTATGGGGCAGAACTTCCGACGGTTGCGTTTCACCACTTTGCCAACGACCGCGTCAATGAGGAGTGGTTCCTTAGTTCCACGAACACCGCCCCAACATCCATTTTGAGCGCGTGACATCACCTGATTTAGCTCCAGGTGACGAGTGATTCTCGCGCTCAAAATGGATGTCAGTGTCTTATATATGGTTGGTAGACACGTAATAGGGTGGTATTTGCTCGGGTCTGTGGTAACCAGGTCTTTAGGAACCAAATGAGTGATCCCAGTAGTGAAGAGGCTAGGGAGCGACTTCTGGTTGAGAGCCTCTTGAAACTGACGGGCGAGCCCAGTGTCACACACCATGAACCCCTTCACCCAGTAGTGATGCAGTCCGTCAAGTCCCAGACTTTTGTAGTTCGGGGCCCTACAGACCGCCTCAGCTATGTCATCCGGCGTTATGATGACGGGGTCCATGGGCGTAATACTCGCACACTGACTCCCCACAACTTCCGTCCAAGGGCCTTCGCTGTGGTTTACGAGCTCTGACCACAGGCCACGCCAAAATGCGACAGTGTTAGCCTGATCCGGTCCTGGGCCCGCTCCACATAAGTCTGGTCGCTCCAATGATTTGTAGAGCCTCTTCTGATCACTCTGGAAGAGACGATTCTGGTTGAACCACCTTGACCTCTCGGTAAATCGGCGAATCCGCTTCCCCCAAGCAGCAATCTTTTGCTTCAGGTCGTCTATGCGCTCCGTTAGTTTGCGTGATATGCAGCTGGGATAAACTGATATTTGTCCCAGCAAACGCCATTCTAACGGTGCGCACAACCCTCGGTCTATTATTACCCGACCTGAAGCTTATCAGTCTGCTGATAAGGGCCCGTGCCTTTGCGATACGGTCCTCAATTCTTTTTCTCCAGGCTGGGATGGCGCTACTTTGTTTAGTAGCGCGTCCAGCCATGGGAAGTTTGGCGCCAATAATACGGCAAGCTGCCACTGCGGCGCCAAAAAGAACTGAGTCCGTCTCGCAAAGGTCCCGGCTGGCTTCCAAATAGGTTACCAGCATTGGGTTAAGAGCCCTCACGACATCCCGATTTCGCTTGCTTAGGGGTATGCGGGGAAGTCGCGGTCGATTTTCGAGAAGCATGCTGCGCGTTTCCAAAATCGCCTCTTCCAATATACTCCTCATTTGCTCTATTTCGTGGGAGACCATTTCATCATCGTCTGAATCAACCACAACTGGAATATCCACGGCGGCTTCTACGCGTGGCAGCTGGTCTGTCGCCTGAGGAGCCGCATCCCCAATAGTAGCCAATTCATTCGATGAGGGAATGGCCTCACGTCGTAGTCGTTCGAGCTCGGCATCATCAAATATTTTCGAGCGCATGATGTACCGAACTCGGTCTGCCAGGTTTTGTTCCGTTATAGGAATAGAGGGCTCCAGCTCAGCAAAAAAGCAGTGCTTCCGAGCCCGATACACTATTCCCGCAGTTTCTTCCCCTTTCGCCCTATAGTACGCCCGCAATGCGTTTGCGTTCATATCCCTTATCCTCCTCACTCCACCAGCGGCGGATGCCGCTTACCGAGTCCGAGAGGACCCTGCCGACATCAAGCCGTCCGGTGGGGATGATGGATGCGGGGGGCTGCTAGGTGATCTTGCGGCTCCTCGCGCTCGGCTGGCGGCCCGTACGCTGCCGCGTCCAGCGCCAGCTCCAGACGCGCCCCGGCGACCCCTAGGCAGCGGCCCTATACGCTTTCTAATCATATCCATCATCCATTTTTGGGCGCCAATTAACTGGAGACGCCCAGGCCCGGCACCGTTTCATTGTATCATTGTACGGTCGTAAGCACAAACGGGCCTTTGCACCCTGAGTACTACCGAGGCACGGCGCTCACACCTCTTGGCAAGGCGCTGACTGACTGCACCGACGTCGCAGTTTTGTCGTTACTTCCCTACGCCTTAACATTATTATTATTATTTAACGTTACAATAACTGCATAAATTGAATTATAACATTATTATTATTGTTAACGTTACAATAACTGCATAAATTGAATTATAACATTATTATTATGGGGGTATCAATATAATCTTCTCATCTGGTCGGGTTCTATAAATATATAATTATAAATGGAAATAAAAAGATAAATATACATAAATATCAATAATATAAAATAAATACAAAAATACATACATAAATAAAAGCTCAACCAGGTGGAGGCCCTCGGCAGGGGAGACCAAACGGCCGAGGGTTAGGGGGAAAGGGAAAGAAACCGGCGGACGATGCGGGCGGTATCGAGGAGCACCGCCTTCTGCATTTGAGCCTGGAGCGGTCCGCCACGTAGTCCCAGCCGCCTCAGATGACCCGAGAGGCTGACTGGGATTAGCCCGTTTGCAGAGACGACTACAGGAATAATTTCGGTCGGCAGACCACCCCACATGTCGGTCACCTCGTGAGCCAGGTCCAGATATTTTGTTTGCTTAACTGTTTTGGCTTTCACGAGGTTCTCGTCACACGGAATGGTAATGTCAACCAAAAATATCCTTGACTGTGCCCGGTCCATCAGCACAATATCAGGCTTATTCGCAAGAATAGTCCTGTCTGTGATGATGGCCCGGTCCCAATAGAGCCTGGCGCGATCATTTTCGAGCACGGCTTCCGGCAAGTACTTGTAATACGGCAATTTCCGATCCACGAAACCGTATTTCAGAGCGAGCTCCTGGTGTAGAATTCTGGCTACTAGGTTGTGCCTATGCAAGTACTCAGAGTTAGAAATTTATCACAAGAAATGACGTCCTTATAGAATGGATCTTCCGATCTCGCCAGGAAGTAATTATGGAGGCTGCACACTTCGCGATTATGCATGGTGAGCGCGCTCAAGAAGCCACGCCCACCAAGCTTTCGCGGCAGGTACAGCCTCATTACCGACGATCTCGGATGATGCATCCTGTGGGACGTCATGGTAGTGCGGACTTTTCTATCCAGGGCGTTAAGTTCAGTCTGAGTCCATCTGAGTATGCCAAAGGTGTACATGAGGACAGGCATGACCCAGCCGTTATATGCTTGTGTCTTATTCACACCGGACAAAAGGCTGTTAAGCACTTTGGTCAAGCGTGCATAAAACACGTCGCAAACTGACTATTTCATATCAGCCTCATCGATACCGATGTTCAGTGACATACCCAGGTATCGGTATGTTTCAGCCTCGGAAAGGGTCCTTAAGTTGAAGGGCATAGATAAGTCGATACCCTCAGAGTTACCAACCCTACCCCTCTCAACATGGAGTACCGCACACTTATCCGTCCCCAGCTCCATTCCAATGGAATTGCTAAATTCACAAGTGATGTTTAGCAATTCCATAAGATGGGAGCGACTGGAGGCGAATAACTTGAGGTCATCCATATAGAAAAGGTGGGTCACTTTTGTCCCTCCTTTCCTTAGCTGAAATCCCCTCCCGGAGCCCTCCAGTAAGGTACTGAGAGGGTTCAGAGAGAGGCAGAACCATATTGGACTCAGACAATCGCCCTGGAAGATACCCCTTCCTATCCTTATGTGGTTCTCCGCAGCCGTCATCCGCTCGCCCAGATGACAGAGGATCGTACTCCACTGTCCCATACACTGCTCGAGGAAGTCTCTAACTGTACAGTCTATCTTGTACAGTTCGAGGACTCTCTTTAGCCATGTATGGGGCACCGAGTCGAATGCCTTTCTGTAGTCTATCCAGGCGGCGGAGAAGTTCCGACAGTTGCGTTTCACCACTTTGCCAATGACCGCGTCAATGAGGAGTGGTTCCTTGGTTCCACGACCACCGCCCCGACATCCATTTTGAGCGCGCGACATCACCTGATTTGAGTCCAGGTGACGAGTGATTCTCGCGCTCATAATGGATGTTAGTGTCTTGTATATGGTCGGTAGACACGTGATGGGGCGGTATTTGCTCAGGTCTGTGGTACTCTGGCCTTTAGGAACCAAATGGGTGATCCCAGTAGTGAAGAGGCTCGGGAGCGACTTCTGGTTGAGAACCTCTTGAAACTCTCGGGCGAGCATAGTGTGACACACCACGAACCCCTACAGCCAGTAGTGATGCAGCCCGTCGAGTCCCGGACTTTTACAGTTCGGGGCCCTACGGACCGCCTCAGCTACGTCATCCGGCGTTATGGTGACAGGATCCATGGGCGTAATACTCGCACACTGACTCGCCACAACTTCCGTCCAAGGGCCCTCGTTGTGGTTTACGGGCTCTGACCACAGGCCGCGCCAGAATGCAACCGTGTCGGCCTGATTCGGTACTGGGCCCGTTCCACTTACCATTGATCGCTCCAATGATTTATAGAGCCTCTTCTGATCACTCTGAAAGAGACGATTCTGGTTGAACCGTGTCGACCTCTCGGTATATCGCCGAATTCGCTTTCCCCAAGCAGCGATGCTCTGCTTCAGGTCGTCTATGCGCTCCGTCAGTTTTTGCATTATATCCGGCTGGGACAAACTAACATTTGTCCCAGCAAACGCCATCCTGACGGTGCGCACAATCCTTGGCCTGGTATTGCCTGACCTGAAGCATATCAGTCTGCCGATGAGGGCCCTAGCCTTTGCGATACGTTCTTCAATTCTTGTTCTCCAGGCTGGGATAGCACTACTTTGTCCAGTAGTGCGTCCAGCCGTGGAAAGTTTGGCGCCTATAATACGGCAGACTGCCAGTGCGGCGCCAAAGAGAATTGAGTCCGTCTCGCAAAGGTCCCGGCTGGCTTCCAAATAGGTCACCAGCATTGGGTTCAGAGCCCTCACGACGGCCCGATTCCGCTTGCTTAGGGCTATGCGGGGAAGTCGCGGTCGATTTTCGAGAGGCGTACTGCGCGTCCAACATTATTATTATTATTAACGTTACAATAACTGCATAAATTGAATTATAACATTATATTATTTTCTAATTGATTCACTCTAGATTACATAACAAGAAATGTAATTGAAAAAATATATGGACTGCCGTCCTTTGCTCTGTGCGTCGGTGACTCTTCTCGCTTAATAAATAAGATTCCCTGTACTCTAATGGATCCTTCCTATTGATTTTTGTTATTGAACTCAACACGGTTTAAAAGTTATTAATGAAAGTCGATCAGATTCTCAGTGTTTTCCTTTAAAAATTATTGTCACTAATTTCAACACTTTTAATTTTAATTTTTAACATAATAAGCGTATGAGAGTGTAAGGCGTGCATTTTTGGATTTTCCAAATATTTTTTTAAATATAAAAAAACAATATTGTATAAAATCTTACAAAAACATTTTACGTGAAATACTTTGTACGTACTTTACATTCAATTGCTAACATATGTCGGTATCGATATTCAAACGCCTAATATATTCGTTTTGTGCACCAGTCACATATCAACTGAATATATTTTGCTAAATTCAGGGAATTTCTACCGTAATACTAAGTTTTATGAATCCTATTTCAATGACAGATATCTCGTGCATTGAATGTTTAAGGTGAAAATTCAAATTATTCGTGATTTTTCAAAGCATACATAATATTACGTCTCTCTAGCTATGAACTTTATTTTTCTTTATTTTGAAGAAACATTATAAGTTATCATTCTTGTAGAGACAGTTTTTATTAAATTATTTATTTTGTTTTACTTGGTAGACCTAAACAATCGATAAAATATCAGGCATGGGGTGGTTTGTGATCGATAATCCTTGGTAAATTTAAGTTCATTAAAATGTAATCTATCTATACTATTTCACTGTATTTTTATTCAGGATACAGTAATAAAAATAATATAAAACATTAACTGAATAAAACTAAATATAAAATTGTCTTGTGACAAATACACAAATATGTTGATCAAATCGGAACGTAATTAAAATACTGCATTATGATTATTTTTCTTAGATAAAGTAACAGAAATATTTAAAAATCAGTTAAATCGCGAAGTAACTGACAAATAATTTCAAATTATAATCTTATATTAAAAACAAAACATTTTATATATAACTTTAAAAAATATATATAATAGCAAAAACAAAATTGAAAATAAATCTCAAATTAAAATACAATTAAAAATCACACTGAGACGATGTTACATCTTAACTTATTCTTTGTTATTTTCGGCTCAATTTTCATACCCTTCTAGATGAAGCTCGCTGCAACTGCTGAACTGCTTCTTTGCTTTGAAAAATAATCCAGAGTTTCCTTGATTTTTGTTCATTATATTTAAAATAATCCACATTTTATTTTCCTCATTCTTTGTTAGTTGTCTTCTAACGTAGTTGTCTTGTCTATAATTTTTAACATTTCTGTTAGTTTCTATAAATGTATTTTTGTGTCCTCTTCACGTTTTTGTCATATTGTTAATTTTTGTCTTGTCCGGTATAAGATTGTGTCAGCTTTATAGTTATTTAATTTTTGTTTTTTCCCGTATAAGATTGTGTCAGCTTTATAGTTATTTAATTTTTGTCTTGTCCGGTATAAGATTGTGTCAGCTTTATAGTTATTTAATTTTTATTTATTTGACATTATTCATTATAACGTTGACGTCAACGGTGCGCTTGTTGAGAGAAGACGTGTTTCTGTAATTGTGGAAAAAAAAAAATTGATAAATGGTGAAATATCTACAAAATTTTAGTATTGAGTTGTATCAGAGTGTTCAATAGATAAAAAGCTGACGAAGTGTTGTAAAACGGTAATTAAAAAGTGTCTGAATAAGTGCTAAAACTAAAAAGTAGTTTTGAAATCATCCATTGCTAACGGAAAAATTTAACTGTGAACAAAGGATTGGACTTTGTACTCATTATTATCTACTCATTGTTATTGAGAAGAAATCGTAAAAAGTTCATACGAATTAAAAATTTCGCAACTTATGATCAGTTACTTAGTGGTCTAGTGGCTTGCACATAGTTTAACGGCTAACCCAACACTCGTTAGGGCGTAAGATCAAATCCCCGCATAAAGTTTTTATTTTTTTTTTTTTGGTTTATTTTATTTTATTTTTTCTCTTTAATACTTACAACGTTTTAAAAATTGGTTATATACGATGTCGTCACAGAAGACTTGTGCCGGGTGTCATAATTCTCTGCCAAGGAGGGAGTATATGATTTGTGTCACGTGTAAGCTTGGATACGATTTGCTTTGCGCAAACTTGACATCTAAACACTTCTATCAGATGGATGCAGAAAGTAGGAATAAATGGAACTGCCAACAATGTCGCAGTAAGCTACCAAAAACAGGTAATTCGAATACTCCTGTACGTATAACTAATCATCCCATTGCTTCTAAGGAAGATTCCATCCTGAGTCCTAGTGAGGAGAGTAATGTAACTACGAGAATAAAAAATAAATGTTCCAAGTCTGGTAACAGCGATTCTTGTGTAACAGAGGAGAGGTTGCGCATGATTATAAAACAGGAAATTACTGACACTATTAAATCTCTAGTATCCGAGCACCTAGCGAACTTAAACCTTCAAGTATCTGGGTTTCAAGAGTCCCTGTCATTTATAAGCAAACAATACGATGATCTTATGCAGTCTGTTAACGAGAAATCAGAAATAATCAATAGACTGGTTTCAAAGAACGAAAAATTAACAACACAGGTTAAAAACCTGACGGACAGACTGGGGCAGATAGAGCGAAATATGCGCGTTTGTAACGTGGAAATTACAGGTATTCCCGAACACAAGTCAGAGAACCTCCTGAGCACTGTTGAACAACTTGGTAGAATTGTCGAGAGTCCTATTGCTGAATCTGATATATTACATGTAACAAGAATTGCCAAATTAAACAAGGAGAGCAATCGTCCTCGTTCTGTCATCGTAAAGCTTCGCAGTCAGCGACACCGCGATGAATTATTGGCTGCAGTGACACGATTCAACAAAAAGAACAAGGATAATAAGCTCAACACCGAGCATCTTGGACTCGGAGGACGTCGCGAGCCCGTATTCGTATCTGAACACCTGACGCCCACAAATAAACATTTACATGCTGCAGCCCGAAAGAAAGCCAAGGAGGCTGGGTTCATGTTTGTGTGGATACGGGATGGAAGAATTCTTGCGAGGAAAAACGAACAAAGTCATGCTATTTATATTAAAGACGACGAAAGCTTAAAATTATTGCTTTAAAATTAGCCAAGTAGTAGTCAATAGTAATTTTTGCCACAATGCCTGTAAATATTTATTATCAAAATGTGCGGGGCTTAAGAACTAAAACAGAGGATGTCTTTAAAAATATTCTGATTAATAATTACAACGTAATTGTATTTACTGAAACGTGGCTCAATAGTAATATAACGAACTTAGAATTTATAGATAAGCGTTATATTGTTTATAGGAGAGATCGATTGTGCTCAGAAACTACTAAAAAAGACGGAGGGGGGGTTTTAGTCGCTGTTTCTAGGGATATACCTTCTTTCAGACATTCAAGCTGGGAGAGCGATGCGGAGGATCTATGGGTCTCAATTGATATAAAAACAAATAACATTGTTACCAAAATACTAATTTGTGTGGTATACCTTCCTCCACCAGTAAACCTGGAAAGCCTTACTCGGTTTTTGGAGCATACTAACGATATTTTGGACAAAGCTGATCAAGTTATAATGTTGGGAGACTTCAACATGGGCTTCATTGGTTGGTCTCGCAGTGTGGACGGTGTTTCATGCAGTGCATTTAATTATGATTCACCACAGGGTCTGGCACTCACTGATTTCATGGCGCTAAATAATATTACACAAATGAACCCTATTCCTAACGAGGATGGCAGAGTGCTGGACCTTGTTCTAACCAACTGTGTTCCTTTAGAGGTTTCTAACTCCTTAAATGTTATAAGTAAAATTGACCGAAAGCATCCTCCGTTATTGATTACTGTACCGGAACTAAAACCGAACTTACTTAAACCAGCCCAAAAACCTCGACACAACTTTTTCAAAGCGAACTATGATCTAATCTTGGCTCATCTTAGGGAAATTAATTGGTCACAACAGTTCGATAGGTGTCAAAACGTTAACGAGATGACCACAGTATTTTACCGTATTTTAAACAATGCCGTGAAAACATACGTCCCTATTTTGAAGCCAAAAAAAAGCAGGTTCCCCTCATGGTTTAGCAGGTCTCTGATCAGAATAATCTTGGAAAAAGAAAGCAAGAGAAAAAAATTTGTGAAATACAAAAATCCACGCGATAGGTTGGAGTATGAATTACTTCGTGAGCGAAGTAAGAAAATAATAGACGCATGCCTACAAAGTTATAAAAAACGGGTCGAGGGTAATATTGTCAGGAATCCTAAATATTTCTGGAACTATATTAAGGATAGGCGAGGTGGTGAAACTACTATACCTGCCGAAATGAGCCTTGATGACGAAATTGCAAACACTGGTACAAAGATTGCAGAACTATTTGCTAAAAATTTTTCATCAGTGTTTAGTAACACAGTATTACCTGATAGCCTAGAGTCCGCAGTGCACGGTTTGCCATATTTGAGTGTAATTAGATTCAGTGAACATGAAATTAAACGTGCCATTAAAAAACTAGATATCTTCAAGGGTGCCGGTCCGGATGAGATCCCTCCTGTTTTTGTAAAGCGCTGCGGTCCTACTCTTACTCTGCCACTGTCACTTCTTTTCAATAGATCTTTGCATGACGGGGTATTTCCTGAATTGTGGAAAAAAGCTAAGATCGTTCCAGTGTACAAGAAGGGTGACAGCAGTGACATCAAAAACTACCGTCCTATATCCATACTTTCTTGTATACCTAAGCTGTTTGAATCCCTTGTTTGCCCAAT